TTCATTTTGTTGTCGGCTTAGTCCCTTCATTTATCCGGGTCGCCACAGCGGAATGAACCGCCAACTTATCCAGCACGTTTTTACACAGCAGATTCCCTTCCAGCCGCTCTGGGAGAGCATGTAAACTCCACACAGAAATGCCTACTGAACCGAGGTTTGAACAAGTGACCCAGCGACCTTCTTGCTGTGAGGCAACAGCACTACCTACTGCACCACTGCATCACCTATATTATATTATATTATATTATATTATATTATATTATATTATATTATATTATATTATATTATATTATATTATATTATATTATATTTTTGCACAGCTCTCTGGAATACTTGATTCTGATTGGTCAGTTATGACATTCAAAGCTACGCAAATACTGCAAATCATCTTGACCATCAATTAACACATTGACTTTTTATTTTCTAGTCTTTCATGCCATTTTGTGGCCGTCTGTTGAATAATATTCAAGTTAGTGCACCATTCAGCTGTTTTCGTTTCTAGCAGTTTTGCATTTAGTCAAAGAGTTATCAAACTACTGTGGCTCAAAACCAAAATTTATTTCTATTTGAATTGGTATTTGATAATGTTTTGTACAAAGTAGCCATATAATAAGTGGGATAAAGTACATCCAGGCGGGTGTTTTCAAAGAATAAACCTGTTCCCTCTTATACAACAGCCATCTGCTTCCCGTTAGGCTCCCAATAAGCCAATTAAACTTTATTCTGTGATGACAACCCTCTGAATGTACTTTATCACTTTATGATATTATGTCTGACATACTTTGGCTAATATTTTAACAGCCTGATCTTACAAGGAAACATCACTATTTTACATATCGCCCGAAAAGTGGCTAATTTGTGAATTCATTCTGTTTATATGAATTAGTATGATTTGTAAAATGAAACATGCTTCCAAACCCCTCCTCTAAACCCTAAAAATCATACTAAAATATATGAATATGAGAGTTGGAATTAATAGGAATGAGACACTAATAAAAAAAAAGAAAAAAAAAAAGAAGTGATGGTTGCAGGACTTAAGAAATGCAGAAATATATGCAGAAAACATTTTTCTAAATGTTTACAAGGACACAAATGTGTTCATTCTATGGCATGTTGAAATGATTGAGTTAACCTTGAAGGATCTTTAAAGTAGAAACAACATTCTAAAACCTGATTTTTTTTTTTTTTTTTTTTTTTTTTGGTGACGCATGTTTCTGCACATTCCAGTGTTTACAAGGGTTAGTATTTGTGCCTCCATGATGGTCATTAGGCTTTTTTTCCATGTGTAGTAACAGATTGAGTGTCTTTTATCATAGCGTAGCTTTCAGCTCACTGATATGAATGTTTGCCCGCTAGTAGTATGACTCACTGTTATTTGGCTGGCTGTCAAATGTCTGCCCAACAATAATTAAATCATTTTACTACTCGCTCACCGATGCTAGTCCGACATATCCATCACATCTTTGTTCTTTCATCACAAAGCCTAGCTGCATCCAAGCAGATTAGTGTATTAATGCCACCTCGACTTTTGTTTCTCCTCTTTTTTTCAGTCTTTCTTTCTAGCCATACACATGCACACGCACAGCATTTGATTAAAAAGACTATTAGTATTTATTTATTATCATTATTTATTTTTTGTAGCAAGGGTGCCATGCTGAGATGTGAAGCAGGGCTATTAATTACCATGCCATTTTCATGAACTAATGGTTCACGCTCAGTGCATGTAAATATGGCCACAGAAGCAAGTCACAATTTGATGTGATAGTCGGAGATGAATGGAACCTAGTCAAATGTGGGTTAGAGAAAATAAAAAAAATAAAAAAAACAATTGAGCCCTTGCCAATAGAACTGAAAGAAAATAGATGGGCAAAAATAATAAAATAAACCAAATCAAATAAATAAAATTAAGTTATAAATTTATTTGAGCAATATCACAAGAGTAGCAGTGTTATATTGCTGTATATCAGCACTGGTGGGAGGCTTGGTGTCCCACCAATGACATACAGCCATATCGCACTGCTACTCGTGTGATATTGAGCTTACAAAACAAGTTGATTAATGATAATTAATCTGGAAAAGACAAACCAAAGCAAACACTATCAGATTACTATGGTATAAATACAGCAATGCAACATTCAAAACAGAGAGATCAACTTAAAATGTCACTTACAAGTTTTATAATGATTTAATCAGCTGTAGTTTGAAATGTATGCTCTCTTACTTCCTTAAGGACTTATACGTTCTCTGTAGCCATCTTGTAGCGGAATGTTAACTTTGCTCTGCTTAATGACAGGCTATTGGATGCCGACACCAAAATTCTAAATATTTAAAATAGGCACTATCCTTATAAATAAACTGCATATTTGCTATGTAAATCACTATATTCTTCCCTCAAAACCCTCAAAAGTAAATTATGTTGTCCAACAGCGCAATCTCCAACTGTAGTGAGTTTCCGTCACTCTATGTGGGCAAATTAATACAGATGGGTGAGGAGGCTGTACTAGTGCTATTATTGCAATTATCAGCCAATCGGATTCAAGAACCAGTCAGAACTGATGTATAAACGTGTGTGTGTGTATATATATATATATATATATATATATATATATATATATATATACACACACATACATATACAGTTGAAGTCAGAATTATTAGCCCCCCTGAATTATTAGACAGCTTGTTTATTTATTTTTTCCAAAATTTCTGTTTAATGGAGAGAAGATTTTTTTCAGCACATTTCTCAACACAATAGTTTTATTAAATAATTTCTAATAATGGATTTATTTTATCTTTGCCATGATGACAGTACTTAATTTTTTACTAGATATTTTTCAAGACACTTCTATACAGCCTAAAGTGACATTTAAAGGCTTAAATAGGTTAATAAGGTTAACTAGACAGGTTAGGGTAATTAGCCAATTTATTGTATAGGAATGGTTTGTCCTGTAGACAAAAAAAAAAAAAAAAAAAAAAACATTGCTTAAATGGGCTAATAATTTTATCCTTAACATGGTGTTTAAAAAAAAAAATTGTATATTATATTAATTACACATTTGTTTAAATAGCCTTTTTTGTTTTTTTTTTACAAATATCATTGTAATATTCTAAAGCTTTGCAAAAGCTGTGCGTTATAACACTCAAAATCTCGAAGTACAAAAAGTTATGATATCTGACAAAAAAAGTGCTATCTATTTCTTTTTAATATGTTTGAGTTTTCAGAAGTGGATTTAGATTAGTTTCAACTCCAACTTCTGCTACAATCAATGCAATCGACTCCTCAAGTCCATAAATATTTAATGAGGACAGGGTCAGGATAAGGAGTACAGTACACGATTATAGTCATTATCACACTTGGCTGAGCACCATTTGTCCTTAAACCCCAACATAAAAATAAATAATACAACTCTAGATTCATTGTAAAAAAAAAAAAATAAATAAAATAAAAAATCTATTTGTTCAAACGACATGAAGGAATTGAGTAACCTTAAGTTAGATTTTTACATGTTTATGTAGATTGAACATAAAACATTTAAGTTATTATGAATAAGCAGTTTGAACAAACAGCAGAACATATTTTTGAGGGATGTTTCACGATTTGTTTCTGACTCTCCGAATGTCAATGAAATGAGACTTATGTTTGATATAATTAAAGTTAAACTAGCTCTCGTTCCTGTTTGGTGTTGTCAATCTAGCAACCTTTATGTGTCGTTGTCCTCATTTTTTGACTGTTGACTAGAACTATCCAAAATAAGGAACCAACTTTATATAAAAAAAATAAAATAAATCCCATATTTTGTAGTTTAAATTTGTGAGACAAAGGGAATAAATGCGAACTACACAAGACACAGGTGACACTAATAATAACTACGCCAATTAAAATAGATACAAAAAAGAACTGCACTGCAACTGAACTGAACTGCAGTAAAGTATACTATATAAATATACATCAGTTGGATTGTTAATAATATTAGTTGCAAACATTTTAGAAAGTCCTATACCTTCACAAACACAATTAGTCACGTGTCTTCTGAACAAAATCAAGTTATACCCGTGAAAGATAAAATCACATCTGCCTCTTTTTTTTTTTCTTTGGAAATGGAAGTGAATAGCATAACAGTTTTTTTTTCTGTACAATCATTCTCTTTATCATTGTCAGCAGTGTAATGAACCCCTGGTGAGCGCGGTCCGTTTGTTCAGCTCCGCGAATGTCTTCCATTTGCATAGATATGCAAACTGCGGTTATATCTCGTTGTGTTCGCAGTGATGCTATCAGACTCAACTCCATATAAATCCAGTCGACGCACGCCACTTATCTAGGCCATTTTATTCCAAAGTGAGTTAAGCTAGCGCTCCATATGCAAAAGAAAAAGAGAAAGAGAAAAATATAGATACGCCATATGGTAAAAAGATCCATATCTCGAAGCTGTATATGTTGATTGAGCTCGAGTTCTCATTGCATCAACACATTTTTGAGCGTCCGTTCTATCTTTTTTCGACTAGGAAGTGTCTCTTTTTTTGTTTTATTTGCTGATAGCCTTTGTCAGTATCCTTTGCTGTCATCGAAGCCGTAAAAAACAAGTGCGCACTGAGAGCCTTTGCCTCTTTTATGTCTTCTTTCTGCCTCATTTAGCTTCACAAAGTGCTGAATTTACTTGATGTCGTTGTGTTTGTTTGCTCAGAAGCTTTTAATGTAACCCTTCTGATTTACTTTCTTGGCATGAAAATCTATCGGAAAGACATAAAGTGAACCTCTTCGAAGTTACACCTAATGTGGGGTTGTAAACGAAGATGTACAAGAAGAAGAAAATAGCGTAAAGGTGGGCCAACGGTTAATGATCAGGACAGCAAATGCAAATGTTAAATCTTAAACAGAGGTGACCCCGAATCCGAGGGAATTTCTGCTTTATCACCGTTGTGCCCTTGAGGGATTTAAAGCTTGGCTCCTTCAGGAGAAACGGTCTTTGTAATTAGTATGTCGCTTGTCTTTCTTCTCTCAGGAAGCTCTCAAAACGTCACTCTTCGGGGCCGCTATCACTGCCGCGGGGGCCGGGAGATCAATGTGAGCCAGCTGTGTGACTTCAGCATTGACTGCCCGCAAGGGGACGATGAGGGAGAACATTGCCGTGAGTATTACTGCTGTCCATTTGTAGGACGAGACAACAGACGGGGACTCAGGAGGGCAACAGAAGCTGTTTAATGAAGCCACAGTGTGTTTGTTCATTATATAACAGAAGTTGTGTTTATTGGACAATGTGGCATTGTACTTTGCTTCGGAAGCAGTGCTCAAATTATTATCATAGACGGCAAGAACCTATCCATGAATAATAATGATTATTATGGTTCATAGCATATAGTAATAGTAATAGTAGTACAACTGGCGTCACTTTCCTAACTCAGCCCACACCCATAATGATTTTAATATAATATAATATAATATAATATAATATAATATAATATAAAATTAATAATAATATAATTTTTAACTTGTTTGATTGTTTATCATTTATAGAAAATAACACAAATACATATGCAGCACTGATAATAATAAAAATAATAATGACGATTATTATTATTATATTATTATTATTATTATTATTATTATTATTATTATTATTAAATATACATGATATATAATAATAATAATTAATGGATACCCGATTTTTTTTATTTAATCATTTTTTTATATTATAATATAATATAATACAATTTTTTATGTGCTTGATTGTTTATCTATTAATGATATTATACAAATACATCTGTTGCACTGTAATAATAATAATATTATTAATAATAATCCAATAATAATAATAATAATAATAATAATAATAATAATAATAATAATAATTATTATTATTATTATTATTATTATTATTATTATTATTATTTTAATTAACATTATTATATTTATTATTAATGAATTAAAAGTTATTATTATTATTATTATTATTATTATTATTATTATTATTATTATTAATTGTATTAACATTATTATATTTATTATTAATTAATTAAAAATTATTATTATTATTATTAGTAGTAGTAGTAGTAGTAGTAGTAGTAGTAGTATGCCAAAATTAAGATACATGATTTCAATTATTTATTTTCATATTATTACAATTTTGTACACTATGATATTATTGTCTTTTAAAGTTCACAATACTTAAATAAAAAGGGTTTTTAAATATTATGACTGTACTATACATTTTGAAACACTATGATTTGCTCAATTTTTTTTTTTAAATCAAACATTGTTTTTACAGTATTTAATGACTTTTTTTATGCTAACGGTTTATAAAACAAAAATCTTGATAGTTCATACTTTATTAAAAACATAGTGAAAAAATGTGTGTATTTAAATTAGTGAAATAGGGTTAACCTATATGATTTATTCTTTTTTGCTGCTTGCTTTGTGTTTATTGATATGACATATTTGTTGGTATAGTTCAGTCACACTTTGACATCTTTGACATTTTTAACAAATACCCCTAAGCAAATTCAGTTGAGATGACATGTAGCCCACATTTAGCCAACTATCCTCGCAGGAAACTTTCTTGTTGCTTTGTAAGATTGCCTTGCCTTTGGCCATCATTCCCTGCCATTTAATTTCTGTTTAAAGATTTTTTTTTTTCTTTTTTAGAAGCAGACTACTTTCTAGGTTCCCAGAAGTTAAACATAGTTTTACCATTTATAATCCATTGGTGGTAGTACTTTTAGCTGAGCACAAACCATGTAACTGGATTAGATTGTTAGCATCTACAGGGCTGGAATAACATAAGAGCTGGGAGGGGCTGAAGCCCCTGTGCCAATGGAAGTAGGGAAGAGGAGCCTTTATTGGCTGAAGAATTGCGCCATGATGTGGTAAAACTTTTGTGAGCCAACTGCCACTGTTTTTTCCCCTACAGTGCAGGCGACTCCCACTTCTCCCTCAGCCATCTCAGAGCATTTTTTGAAAAAGTTGTGAGGTAGACTTTCACATGCCGATAATATGAAGTATCCCTTACGGCTCGCTGGTGTTCAAAAACAGTGACGCCGTGCAACTTAGAGTTGCTTTAGCTAAATTTGCAATATTCCTGTTTAGCCATTTTTTCCCTTGTAAGTCCCTTATTTACCAGCACAGTTCCTTATTTCGGCTATACCATGAGAACGGTCCAGTCAAAAGTAAGCTATAGCCAAGTGCAAAACAGAACAAAAATTTAAATTCAAACAGTATCCTGTCCGTTATTAACTTGCCCTAGGAGAAGATGGGAGAAGCTAAATCTAACTGAACCAGTTAGAAAGCAAATTTTTAAATGACTGAATTCCCCTTTTTATAAAAACAACAGTAAAAAAAAGAAATGTTGGCGCTGACTTTCATCAAACTATATATGCGAGGAAAAAACAACAACACAGTAACCTTTTTGTAATTGATTGTCCTAAGACAAAATGGGAAATAAGAAGCATGAATTTAGATATTTTAGGTATTTCTGCATCCTCAGCTAAAGATTAAATGTTTTAAAGACAACCCTATTTAAAGTATTTATTGTGAAACACTCATTTAGGAAGCATTGCAAATGTTTTTTTTTTTTTTTTTTTTTTTTTTAATTACTGATTTTGTCAGCCTGTTTAAAATTTGAAGTTTATGTTACGCGACTAATTTTGTATGCTTTAGTAATAAAAGAAAACATTTATAATAATCAAATAGCTATTAAATAGTGGAAAATTTGATAATAATATTAATAATTAGCAAATTAATAATAGCAAAAACTAAAATAAAAATAGGCAATACGTTCTTAATTTGGCCCAGAGAATATAGCTAAAAAAATTAAGACTTTTAATAATTGTTCTATTTCAAGCTTGACTCTTCTTTAGTTACACCCTGTACTAAGACTGAGGGAAAATGAAAGGTTGCTATTTTCTAGGTCAATATGGCTAGGAATTATCATTTGATTCTGGCGTAATTATCAAGGAACTTTACTGCCGCACTATGATTGCAGCAGGCACAATGATATTACGGAACAACTGAAAAGAGTCAAGATTTAAATTGGAAAATTATCAAAACTCTTGACTAATTTAGAAACTAAATGATATACTAATGCTAATGACCTAATCTGATTTAATGACCTATGCTAAGCTAAGCTAAACATGCACCTGCCAGACCCGGACATCAGCTGAATGTATTTAAAAATTCTAAAACTCAGCTGTTTAGCTCTAGGGGAGTTGTAAAAATGGCCAATTTACACAATTTTTTTGCCAAAAAAAGTGTTAAAAAAGGGTTAAAACAAAAAAAAAGAATATTTAAACACTAAGCTTACTTGAATATTTGCTGGTTCTTATGTCATATCTGTCTTAATCTGTTCTGTATGATGCAATGATTAGTGATCCATGCCTCTGCAAACACAGCACAGGTTTTGCCAGGGGCCGTTTAGTGCAACAAAAAGCTGCAATATCATCCTGTGTCATTCAAATCATAAAGAGTTTCCCCCTCTTCCTGTCATCTTCTGTCTGTGTTCTTACTATTGCTCTTCATGTTAATCCCCATGAGTGCGGTCATGTTGGTCGATGTGTTTACTCTCTGCTGGCTAATGGCAGGAGTTGAGTGCTGTACCGTCTCCCCACAGCAGATGATTAGCTGATCCTGCCTCACACCTCTCAGATCAATACAGTGCAGAAGCTGTAATCAACTTTCTGGAGCTCCACCTGCAGTGCTTCTGGATGAAATGAAAGTCAACACACTTTTTTGGCAACTTAACTGGATTCTGTGTGGTTTATTGTTAGAACGAAGCTAAATGTCACTGATCATGTTCAATATGCCACCATGGATATTAATATTGATTATCAACCTGTTAATCAGTTTCTTTCTAAACCCATTCAGCACATTCGATTTGTGCAACAAGATTGTATTGTCTCTTTAATAAACTTGTTGTTAAGACTGATGGAAATGGAGGTCCTTGGAGCAGATGAATAGGTCTGCAGTTGCCATTCTGCTCAGAAGCTGAATTAAAGTCGGATTTAAAAATCTCACAAACTCATCTATGTAATGATAACAATAATTAATAGGGTGGCATGGTGGTTTGTACTGTCATCTCACAGCAAGAAGGTTGCTGGTTTGAGTCCCAGTTGGGCCAGTTGGTATTTCTGTGTACGAGTGCATGTGTGTATGGGTGTTTCCCAATACTGGGTTGCAGCTGAAAGAGCATCCACTGCTGAAAACATTTTGGAATAGTTGGCGGATAAAGTACTTAGCTGAAGAAAAATAATTGAATTATATTCATTAATTTTCTTTTTGGCTTAGTCCCTTTATCAATCTGGGGCAGCCACAGCGGAATGAACCGCCAACTTATCCAGTATATGTTTTACACAGCGGATGCCCTTCCAGCTGCAACCCATCACTGGGAAACATCTATACACACTCATTTACACATTAATACACTATGGACAATTTAGTTAACCCAATTCACCTTTACCTCAAGTTTTTGGACTTTTGATAACTCACATGAACATGGGGAGAACATGCAAACTCCACACAGAAATGCCAACTGACCCAGCCGAGGCTTGAACCAGCAACCTACTTGCTGTAAGGCGATTGTGCTACACACTGTGCCACCATGACGCCCTGAATGATTAATAATAATAATAATAATAATAATAATAATAATAATAATAATAATAATAAATCCTCATACACTCTGAAGAAAAAGAAACAAATATGTAAAATAACTTTTTTTTAAACTGTTGTTTTGTATGTTTATGTTTATATAAAAGTTGTCCATTAAACATTTGTTCAAATACAGATCAATGCAATTACTAAATCATATTTACAGTTTGTTATTTTTTTCCATTTGCCCTTGCTTTATTTTTAAGTAAAAATAACATACAGAAATTCCTTTTTCATGTTAACATTTAACTTTTAACTGATTGTTTTTAGTAAACTATTTCCCAGTTTATACAAACAGAGAATCAATACATTTTATTTGACTGAAAGCCAGTCGTTAAATCATTTCAGCAACATTTTGGAACAGGCCATCATGTTAGTCGCTGTATCAATCTCAAGCCAGCCTCTAATAGATCCATCATCACTAATGGGCCGTTTCCACTGAGTTATACTGTACGGTATAGATCAGTATGGGTCACCTTTATTAGGCTTGCGTTTCCACTGCCAAAACGGTACCAATTTTACCCTTTAGGTGGGCATGGTGTATGACAGAAGGGTGCAGTCAACATCACTCTTGCCTGAGGAAAATCAAAGTAAAGCTGTACAGGTCATTCACATAAGGGTACCGTAAGGATACCCAAAAAGTGGTACGGTATGGTCCACTTTTTAGTACCTTTTGACAATGAAAACAGCCATAAAACGTACCAAACTGTACAATACCAAACAGGCAATAAGATGCCACGGACTCACAATTACACAGACAATCATCTGTTTTCTCACAATCACCTGATTTCCCAGCCACAGGAAAATGATGCTCGTGTGCTCACCATACACTAGCTATAGAAGTGCAGAGACAGTTCTGTCGATGGGGATTATTGGGAGGCCATGATGGGAAAGGGCCGAGGGAGGGAATTGGGACAGGTATTTTAATGACCACAGAGAGTCAAGACCTTGGTTTAACGGCTCAACCAAAATATAGTGTCCCCATCACTTTACTGGGGCATTAGGACTTACACAGACCGCAGGTTGAGTGCCCCCAGCTGGCCTCTTTAACACCACTTCCAACAGCAACCTAGTTTCTTCATCCAGGTACTGACCAGGCTCAGCCCTGCTTAGCTTCAGAGAGTAACCGATGGGCTGTAGAGTGATATGGCTGTGGTTATATATCGCACAAAAACATGCAGGTATGTCTCAGGTAAAAGTTATTACAACCACAACCAGAAATCTAGCCAATTGCTAATCGGAAATTATCTGGCTATATGCATCACATTATTTGATTCGCTCTTGTGATTGTGCCAGTCGTGATGATCTAATATTGAAAAAAGATTGTTTGATTTGCCTACATTAGAAACAACGATTCTTTTTAAAAAATTGCTGTCATTCTTATTACATTGTATCGCAATAATTTAGTTTAATATGCCAAATGGCAATGGCAAGTCTTTTGTTTACTCGCCAATACCAATTTTGACTTACATTTGGTGCTTGGAGAGTAATAATTTTGGGTCTAGCATGACATTTATATAAAAAAAAATAGGTTTTATTGTAGCTTTTTTTTTTTAAATTCTCCTTTATTTATTAACAAGACATTTCCCGTTACCACTTTTCCCTCCCAAGAACACACCTGCTGCTTTGAAACGTGTCATTTTGTATGGCTAACCCTGTATTGTATGAACACCTCGAGCCAAGCTTGTAAGTTACAAGCCAGCAGGCAATTTATCCTCTGTATTGCAGAGGATTGCTGGAGGGCAACCATGTTTCTTCCCCACATGTTTCTTAATGAAGGTCAGCCCCATCCCTGCAGCCCTGCACAGGGTTCAATGAATTGGCTGTTGATGGAAGTGCTTTGAGGCCATTTCTAATATGGCCTTCCTACGCACTTTCTTCCAAGCCTTTTTGTTCCCTTACCTCAAAACCCCATCCTCATCTGCGCTCAAGAACTCTCCGCTGCCCTCTTATGCCTCTTCAGACATTTAAAAACGGTCAAAGACTATTTCTCGTCGAAGCTTCAAAACTCTTGAGAGGGATACGGCTTTTAGCCCATATTTCTCTTTTTGCTTTTCATCCTTAGTTCTTTTTTTTTCTGTCAGGTCTCCTCAGGATTTTCAAAACATCTCATTGTTTTCTTTCACTCTACCAGGTCAATTCCTCAATGGCAGTTATTGCTCATTTGGAAGAGAGGATTGCGGCTGGCAGCCGGTTCAAGGAAGGGGTCCGCAGTGGAGAGCCCATCCGTCCATTCCTCAAAGCCTCAGAAGCAGCTGTCCATCACCAGGTGCTCTGCATAAATGCACTAAGATGAGATCTGTACGAAAACCCTGAAATGATTTAGATATATAATTAACCAGACTGGTGCAAGCTCAAGGTTGGGTACTAACCTTGATCAATTAAAAAGAAACCAACATGATTTAAGCATGCTTGGTTAATAAATAATCTTCATTAAACATTGACTGTGCATTTTTTGAACGCTAGTCTGGTTTTCATCATTCTTTTGGTTGGGGGTGAAGGGGTCGGTGATATTTTGTGTAAGTTTGTTTCATGTCTTTCATCATTCTGTCTGGCAGGGGCCTTGTTGGCCATCGACAGTCAGCCCAAAGGTCAGCGCGGATCAGCCCAAGTGCGAAGCCCGCTTTTCTTCTACCCCCTGCGGAACGCTCCTTGCATGGTAAGAAGACGAGGCTGCTTCTGCATTCCGCAAGCAACCCTAATGTATGGTATCTCAGTGCAATGGGTATCGGGATCTCTAAGGAAATACGTTTCTGAGCAGTTTCTATCAAGTCTTATGTGCAAATGTATTCTAGCCTCTGCATACAGCAATCAATGCTACACCTATAATGCTTTGAATACTGATACAGGTAATGTATAGCATTAGGATAACGCAGAAGCTGGTAATCGCCATAGATGAGCAGAAAAAGAGAGCATGTTTAAACAATATCACAGTACTTATACGCTTGTTTTTTGTCCATATGCTGTATGGTACTGCACGATGGATATGGTTTAAGTAGGGGATTATGTTTCCACCTATGTATGGTGTAGTGGCAATTCTTGGTGCTTTATAAGAGGGGGACATTTAAATCCAGTGCTTTTATGTTTAAGTGAACAATTTCTGCATTTCCCTGGAATATTTTGTGTTGGCATTCAAAGGTTTTGTGTTTACTTGTAAGAGGATCTAATTCATGTTGATAACTCATTTGACCACATTTTAAAGAGCCCCTATTATACAATAAAAAGGGTCATATTTTGGTTTTAAGGGTTTCCAACAACAGCATTTATTTTTACCTAAATACCCCAGCGACTCCCATATGAATCATTCCCAAACCCCTCCTTAGTGCGAAGCTAATCTGCACTGATTGGAACTGATGACAGCCTGTTGCGATTGGTAGACAGTAGGGATGTAACGGTATTGTAAATACCGTCATACCGCAATATTAATTTTTTTCGATATTACCGAAGTCGCATGACTCGGTAAAACTATAGGTCTTCTGAGAAAATTTGCTCAGGCGAATGAAGCGAACGGGAGGTAACGAAAACTACAATTGCCATCAGCCCATGCTTGACCATCATCCCTTGCGGTCTGTTGTTGCTACAGATCCAGTAATGCGGAAATGGAGTGTGCTGCTAGAAGCGGGGATGAAAAGAGCTGGAAAACTCTAAAGCAGGTCGCACACCAGAAGCGCCGCTCGGCGCCGCGACACGGCGCGTACATGACAGATTAAAGTATCGCACACCAGACGCGCACATTCGAATGATATTTAACATGAAACTAATCAGATGGCGCTCTGTGGCGCGGCTGAAAAATGAACTGCGTCCTGAGCCGTCGCCGGGCGCCGCCGACAGCCGCCGACTTGCGGCGCCAGTGTGTGTATCCTGATAGAAACATATGATTAGAATTCTAAAATACATGGCGCTGCGTGGCGCTGCGCGGCGCCGCCGAGCGTCGCTTCTGGTGTGCGACCTGCTTTACACGCACAGTTCAGTCCTGCATTATCTCCATGTAAGTTCAGACTTCACAAGTTTGATCAAGGCTGCAGTCTCTTCTTCTCAGTTTGATATGGAAAAGCAGATTATACCGAGGACAAGGGTAAATCTTCAAAGGGAACAGTGTACTTTATAACTTCATTCACATCACCCTGGCTTCGTTGTTTCACTTTCTCAACAATAAAATGTAAACATGATTTAAGGAACTGCCTATTTTCATTTTAATATTAGCAACTTAGACAGCAGAAATGTTGAGGCGCCGTGCTGCATAAGATGAGCGTCATCTTCACTGTGTGGATATTTATAACAAAACGGAGCCGATAACAACTGCCTCCTTTCAATTTCAGTGAAAATACGAAACACACCCTCTCTTTTGCTGAGTATCAGTTTTAAGAATCGATAATGGCCATTTTAAAAGTATAACATACAATAAGTTTATACAATATAGGAAATAAAGGCAAGCGATCAGTCAATATACAGAATGTACGTGCACATTAATCATTAACTTATCTTTGCGCTCAGCCAAAACACGTTACCTGAGAACAAGTAATAGATTCCAATGACCAAAGTCAGGGAATATGTCGTTAGATAAAGACAACAAGATAAATGAAATATCCCGTTTAATAAATAGTGAGATTAGATCCAGCGGGAGATGCTTAATGAGAAGTCCAACTAGCAGAGCTCTCATCTGGGTAGATGGGCTGAGTGTGATTAAATGTTGAATGTGATGAGTTTTCAACAATACTAAATTGAAACTATTTTTTTACATGGTTTAATAGTTTTTTGTTATTAAAATTGAAGTTCCTGTTTCAAAGCTTACAGATAGATGGCTAATTTGTATGTCATTGACACTTTTGGCACTTTTTTGGAGTATTTTCAAAAGTTTTGTTTTTTCCTGTAAATGATTCAATAAATACCGTACCGTGACATTCATACCGAGGTATTACCGTACCGTGAAATTCTGATACCGTTACATCCCTAGTAGACAGCCTTCAGCTAGAGACAGAGCGAAATGGCCACCACAGCTTATAAACAATATTGAAGTAGTCAGAGTGCATAGTGTGTGTAAGCATACCCGCCAACACTCCTGTTTTTTTTTTTTTTTCCTGGGAGTCTACCATATTTCAGACCCATTTCCAGCCATTTTGTCATTTATCCCAGAAAACTGCCATAATCTCTGATGGTAAATCATACTAATAATTTACTATTTTAGTTCTGTTAGGATAACCCTAAATGCCAGTAAAATGGGAGAAATTTTTCTTTTTCTTTTTTTTTTCTTTTTTTTTATTAATTAGACTAGACAGTCTTAAGCTTACACACATTTTCTTATTTATTTAGCTTTGCTTTTAAACTGTATAACTTTGGTCAAATGTTTTGTGTATCCTTCCACAAGCTTCTCAAAATAGTTTGCAGGAATTTTGGCCCATTCCTCCTGACAGAATTTGTGTAACTGAATCAGATTTGTTGACTGTCTTGCTCCCACAAGCTTTTTAATCTCTGCCCACAAATTTTATATAGGACTGAGATCAGGGCTTTGTGATGACCACTCCAAAACATTTTCTTTTTTCCTTAAAGCACATTTTAACTAATTTGGCAGCATGTTTAGGTCATGGTCTGTTTGAAAGACAAACCTACAGGGGACATGTCCTGTGGTCTGATGGAACTATTGAACTATTTGGCTAGATTGACCGGTGTTACATTTGGAAGACAAAGGGGAAAGCTTATAAGCCTAGGAACACCATCCCAACTGTGAAGTATGGTGGTGCCAGCATCATGTTGTGGGGCTGTTTTGTTGCAGGAGGGACTGCTCTACTTCACAGCATAGATGGCATCATGAAGAAAGAACCTTAGGTAGAAATACTGAAGCAAAATCTCAAGACATCAGCCAGGAAATTAAAACTTGGCCACAAATGGTTCTTCCAAACAGACCATGACCATCAGCATACTGTCATATTTGTTTAAAAGTGATTTAAGGACAACAGAGTAAATGCTTTGGAGTGGCCATCACAAAGCCCTGATCTCAATCCTATAAAAAAAAATGTGGTCAGAGTTGAAAAAGCTTGTGTGAGCAAATCTGACTCAGTTACACAAATTCTGTCTGGAGGAATGGGCCAAAATTCCTGCAAACTATTGTAAGAACCTTGTGGATGGATACCCAAAACATTTGACCATGGTTATAGAGTTTAAAAGCAAAGCTAAAAATACCAAGGAAATGTAAGTAAACTTTTGACTGTATAGAAATTAATTTTAAAATATAAAAAAAAAAAATCTCATTATTCTGGCATTTAGCAAATGTAAATCATTTAGGTAATCCTAATGGACCTAATTAAGTAAAAGTTTAGTATGAATTACCATCAGATATTAAAAAAATAATTCTATTCCTTTAAGAGTATGTAAACTTATGGTTTCTACTGTATATAAACAATATAAATGTCACATATTTGCAAGATTTGTGCTATTAGGTGTTATTACAGCATACTGCAATGTGAATATACTAAGCTTCATCCCTTTTCCTTGAATTGAATTTCACAATACAATCCTACATTTTAGTCTGTCAAATCGTTTCATTGTTAGCTAGAAATGCAAATTATCAAATGTTTTTGGTTTGACCTGGTACATTTTCAGTGTTTTAGGCTATAGATGACATTTTTAGCACACACAATGCCAGTAATGAGTCACTTTTGTAATAGCTACCGACAGAATGTAGCTGGGTGTCAGGAGGTTATTTTTGTACCCACATTTCAATGTCATTTGAATGTAATTACATGGAAATTCTGCAACCAAATGTGAAATGTTAATGTCCGTTTTAAAGAATAAAGAAAAAAAAATGTCTGGCTTTCGCCTAGGTAGAAAGCTTTTGAAAGAATGTCTCAGATTCAGAATTCATAGACCTTGACCCCATCAGTCTGTGGCTCACACACAAGCCTGCTGGGAAAGGTGAATTACACAACTGCAAAAGACTTCCTGAAGAAAAACATTCAAACAGCAAGTTTCAGTGGTAACAGGGGGTGCAGAATGACAGAGATTGAGAAGAGAGAGAAACAGTAGGTTAAAAAAAATGAAAGTAAGAAAAATAGAGAAATGTCAGGGAGATTATGGAGTCCAGATACATAAGAACAAGGATAGAGGTAGGTGTTGGTTTGGACTTTATGATCAGTCTTACCCGTTACATTTACAATCAATAGCTTACATGGACAACAATACTTCAATTTCAGTATGATTAAAACCATTAATTAATTAATTCATTCATTCATTCATTCATTCAGTCATTGATTCATTTATTTATTTGGCTTAGTCCCTTACTTATTAGGGGTCGCCACAGCAGAATGAACCCCAAACTATTTCAGCATATTTTTTTCGGATGTCCTTACAGCTGCAACCCAGAAATCGGAAACCCCATACACTCTCACAATCACATACACACTCATACATTATGGTCAATTTAGTGTCCAATACTAAACTGAAAAAAATTATTCAAAGATGATTCCTTAAATTTACTTAATTACTTTAAGTTAAGGGGTTGTAAACAATTTGTTTATGTTGAATTTAAACAAATAAATTAAGTGGAACATTACTATATTTAATTTGTTGGTTTAAATTCAACACAAATAAACTGTTTGCAACAATTTTGCAATTATATAAATATATATATATATATATATATATATATATATATATATATATATA